ACTCAAATAATGACACGTGAACCCCAATGTTAATGTTTAATTAGCAGACCCAGCACATGTCTATGCCCGCCACTGAGAGTCAGGTCATCGCTTCTTTCACCAGTGACAGGGAAAGCTTCCTCTCAGCCCCTGCAACCCGCGCCTAGGACGCTGTCCCCCAATGTGTCCAAGGCTCAACCACGGGCCAGGCACATGGAGTGGCTGCACCCTAAGTCTACTTCAAGGGGGTGCTGAACTTTCCTTTAGCCAGGTGGGTGCCAGGCTTAGGTAGGGGCACCTCAGTCCACCCGGGGTCCCAGGCTGCCTGCTGTCTAAGGAGGCAGCTGCATTTGGGTGAACATCTCAGGCAGGAGAGAAGTCACTCTGAGAGGCTGAGGCCGCCCACCCCAGTCACCAGGGTCCTGTTCTGAGCCTGGGACTCCACGAACATCCGGGTGCCACCCACCCTCTGGAGCTTACAGCCCGGGGAGGGGTGGTTGGTGCAGGGCAGCGGCACAGGCTCAGCTTTGGAGACGGCGATGCTTCCCCACCGCCCCTGGGCGCTCGGCCTCACCCCAAGTGTAAGGAAGACCCCAGCGCTCCAAGGCACACCCGCTGACTCAGGGCCCAGGAGGCCAGGGAGGCCGGCAGCGGTCAGAGCAGAATCCACACTGACATGGAGGCTTATTGCTTTCCTGTTTGCTCCCTGTTTGTTTCTTTGAAACTACAGTCAAACGTGCAATTTGGCGTGTGGCTCTGTAAGTTTGGGCAGATGCATAAAGTCACGTAACCCACAACACAGTCAAGAGACCCATCCTCCCCCAAAACTCCACCCCCGTGCCCCTGTCCCAGCCCCCAGCAGCCACTCAAGGGTCCCCTCCCCGCAGTGCTGCCTCTTCTAGAATGCAATGTCGATAGGCAGGCAGCACAGCCTTCTGAGCCCGGGCCTGGGGGGTTATTCCTGCAGTTCGTGCCCGGATGGCTCATCCCTTTCTGTCGCAGGGTTTCCCGCTGCAGGAAGACACCCAGTCTCTTTACCCATCGCCAGGTGGTAGACATCTGCATGGTCTCCACGCTGCGTGGTTAGCAGTAAAGTGACTAGCCACATCCCAGGAGGCCTCTGTGTGAGCCTGAGTTTTCATCTCCGTCGGGTGAATGCCCGGGAGGGCCACTGCCAGATCGTAGGGCGAGTGCATTTAGCCGTGTGAGAAACCCCACAGGCTCTCCCACGCTGGCTGCCCCACCATTTTGCGTTCCCACCCGCCACGTGTGAGGTTCCGACGGCCCACCTGGCAGTGACTCGCACGGGCTGTGGACGTTGCTTCATCTTGTTTTCAGCGTTTTCAGTAGGTGGAAGGGATGTTTCGGAGCAGATTTCACTTGCGTTTTCCCGGTGACGGATGACCTGCGGCGTTCTTCTCATGAGCTTATTTGCTGTCTGAACATCCACCTTAGTGAAGGATCTGTCCGAATTTCTTGACCAATTTTAAAATTGGGCTTTTGTTTTCCTACTGCTGAGTTTGCCTGTTCTCTGTGTGTTCCGGACACAAGCCCTTTGACAGATAAGTGTTTGTCGTTTCGTTGTTCTGCTTGTTTTGGTGGTTGATGTTTGAGAAAACAGAGCCTCCCTCTGTCTCCCCGGCTGGAGTGCGGGGGGCGCGCCCTCGGCTCACTGCAACCTCTGCATCCCAGGTTCAAGCGATTTACCTGCCTCAGCCTCCCTGGTAACTGAGACTACAAGCGCCTGCCAGTAAGCCTGGCTAATTTTTATAATTTTAGTAGAGATGGGGTTTCGCCATGTTGGCCAGGCTGGTCTTGAACGCCTAACCTCAGGTGATCTTCCCACCTTGGTCTCCCAAAATTCTGGGATTACAGGTGTGAGCCACCATGCCCAGCCTACAAATGTATTTTGAAAACCAAAACTTCCAATTTGGATGAAAGCCCACCAGGGCGTGTTTTGTTTAGCATCACCTCTGAGAGCCTTCGCCTAAGCCAAGCTTATAAAAATGATCTCGTACATTCTCCCAGAAGTTTTGCGGCTGTAGGGTTCACATTTCGGGTCTATGATCCATTTTGAGTTTATTTTTTACTTATTGTTTATTCATTTTTGTTTATTGTGTACAGACTGGGTGGAGATTCTTCTTTATTCTTTCTTGCATCTGGTATCCAGTTGCTCAGCACCATACTACACAGGGCCTTCTTTTCTGTATTGACCGACCTGTGCGCTTAGCGTGGCGGTGATGACATTACATGTTGTATATAAATACTCAGCACGTAGGAATCTCAAAGTAAGTGCCCAATAAACAGTAGCTTTAAAATTCCCACATTCAGCTGGGCACAGAGGCTCACACCTGTAATCCCAGCACTTTGGGAGGCCAAGGCAGGCGGATCACGAGGTCAAGAGATCGAGACCAGCCTGACCAACATGGTGAAACCCTGTCTCTACTAAAAAAAAAAAAAAAAATACAAAAATTAGCCTGGCATGGTGGCTCATGCCTGTAATCCCAGCACTTTGGGAAGCTGGGGTGGGCAGATCATCACCTGAGGTCGGGAGTTTGAGACCAGCCTGACCAACATGGAGAAACTCCTCTACTAAAAATACAAAAAAGTAGCCAGGCATGGTGGCGCATGCCTGTAATCCCAGCTATTCTGGAGGCTGAGGCAGGATAATGGCTTGAACCTGGAGGCGGAGGTTGCAATGAGCCAAGATCATGCCACTGCACTCCAGTCTGGGCAAAAAGAGTGAAACTCTGTCTCAAAAAAATATATAGTAAAATTAGCCGGGCATGGTGGTACACGCCTGTAACCCTAGCTACTCAGGAGGCTGAGGTAGGACTGCCTGAGCCCGGAAGGCGGAGGTTACCGTGAGCTGAGACCACGACGCTGCGCTCCAGCCTGGTCAAGAGAGTGAGACTCCATCTCAGAAAAAAAAATCCCACATTCTCTGTTTTGCAGAATTTTGGACGGCAGGCAGGATACATCTCATAGAGAAGCTCTGTAAGCACGCCGTGCTTTGTGCCACAGAGAAAAAGACCCTCCTTCATCTGATCTTGGCAATCGCCCGAGAAGCGTTCCGTAAAGACAGAGATGAGAGCCGCAGTCCCTGAAGGCCGCCTTGGATTCAAACAGCAATTCCGAAAGCCTTCCCGTGAAGCAAGGAGAGAGTGCAGAACCTGACACCCCTCCCCCCAGGAAGACATGAATAGATGTATACACACGTATCGGCCTTTACAAACAGGAGGCCTGGTTGTTAGTGCCGAAGGGGCCATAGTGAGAGATTCTGTACCTGAAGGTTTTTTATTAATAATTGATTGGGTGATTGCTTTTAGCTTTGCCCACGCGGGACACTATTTACTTTGTGTACAGCATAATTGATCTTGTAAACAGAGCACATTTAAACATAATTTGGCAGGAGCGATGCTTTATTTGATGCTGTCCTCTGAAGGATACCCACGCAGCGTTTCATCTTCAGCATTCGTCATAGCTGCAGCCGGACAAAGCCACGGCGAGTCGGGCCCGTCTGCCAACAGCAACCTCATCCCCTTTCCTCTGAGGGGAAGAAATACTAACCCAAAGGACCGTGTGCCAAAGGCAAAGCATCCCCAGCAGACCAAGTCCGAATCACAGGGGGGCACCCAGGGCCCCAGCAGCACCTGCAGTTGGGATCCATGGGACACCTGCCAGTACCGGCCTGGGGCAGGAGGTAAGAGCTCCGTTCCAAAGTAAGCCATGCATCTGAGAGGTCAGCCGACGCGCCCCAGGCTGAGCGGGGTGACTCTCGCCACCCTCGACCCAGCAGCACCCGGAGAGATGCCCTTCCGGCAGGCGGGTCCCAGCCTCCGGGGCCCCCTGCGTCAGGTCAGTCTAATACACGATCAGGCTGAAAATCCAGCCATGGAGGGCAGAGTTGGGGAGAAGTTCCTGCCAAGTCCTGCCCCAGGGAACCCACCATTCCTCCAAGGCCAATTGGGCACCACACTTTCTTTCACAAACGCATGAAAGGGTGGCCCAGGACTGGGATTTGCAGGGAAGCAGGACCCTCCTCCAAGGTGCTGATCCTGGAACATCTCAGCCCATGGGACCCACATATGTCCCTGCGCCCAGGCTGCCAACTGTACCAGGTCACCCCAGAGTCTCAAGTCCTCCAGGCTCTTGGCCTAGGCTGCCATCTGTGCCAGGTCACCCCAGGGTCTCAGGCCCTTCAGGCTCTTGGCCCATGCTGACAACCATACCAGGTGATCCCGGGGTCTCAGGTCCTCCAGATTTGGGAGGAAACCGTGTGTCCCTGCAGTGTTTCCAGGGGCTCCTGGTGGGACAGGGCCATGTGCTCATGCCATCTCTCTCTGATGCTCTCTCTCCCTCACTGGGTAACTGGCCCCTGCATCTCACCCTGGGCTCTTTGCTGCCCCTGCCCCAATGCAAATGAGCCACTTGCCCCTTTTCCTCCACCTGTGGGAGGCTTGGGAGCACAGCAGGAGCCAGCCCCAGGTGTGGAAGCCACGGCCAGTCACATGGGAGTCCCTGGGGCTGTGGGAGTCTCAGGCACTGAGTCTCTTCCCGGTTCTCCCACCCACCCCCTCATTCCTCCCTTCTCTCCATGTCCCAGCAACCCCCCACACACTGGCCCCGCAGGGGGACTGAAATTCACTTCTCTCATTTAGCTGTAGACTAACTTAGCCTGGCTCACTGAGTGCCTCTTTCACTTTGCAAATTACACCACCAGCTTCCCCCATTCTGAAGCCTTTGGCCTTGGCCTCAGCCACCTGCCTTCACCCCAGGGTCTCTAGCCTGCAGGCGGCCTGCCGTGGACTTCTCAGCCTCTAGAATCATAGAAGCCAAACCCGCCTCTAAATCCCCATCCTACACCTGCATCAATCTATATCTATAGCATCTCCTATTCGTTCTGTCTCTCTCAAGAACCTTAATACAGAATCATTTAAAGAGGAAAAGATCACGTTTTTTGGCAATGATGACGGAATAACTGGGCTTCCACATACAGAAAAGTGAGCCCTGCCCCTTACTACACATCATCTATAAAACTCAACTCAAAATGGTCTACAGACCTGCATGTCACAATCAGCTATAAACCTTCTAGAAAATTGTAGTATATTCATATACAATAAAATAGTGTTTAGAAATTAAAAGAAATGAACTTCTGATAAAGCACAACACAGATAAATCCCTTCCCATTATGTTAAGTGAAAGAGTGCAGCACAAAAGAATCCGTGCCACGTGGTCTCAAGTATACAGAATTCTAGAGCAGACCACACAATCGCAGCACATGCAGATGGGGCTGCCTGGCGTCAGGAACTGGAGGAGGGAATTGGCTGCAAACAGCTTTTGGGAATGGTGGGAATATTCTTTACGATGATTGTGGTGGTAGTTACGTAAATCCAGAAATTTGTCAAAATGTATTAAACAATAAATAGCAAGTAGGTGAACTTCTGGTATGTAAATTTTACCTCCGTAAAGCTGATTTTAACAAAATAAAAATTAAAAAATTAGTGTAAAAGGAAAGAAAAAACTCCATGCTAAAGAGAATGTGTAGGTGTCCATATCCAGCAAGACAACAGATTAGGAACGCTTATTTTTTTCCTTCTGAGAACAATTTAAAACGCTGGAACATACTGAAAACAGCTTTTAAATGCATCAATGAACTGGCAAGAAAGTAAGGGATTCTCAAAGACCAAAACCCATGTAAAAGCGTTATCAACGTAAATAAATAAAACAAGGCCAAATTTTTATTAAGAAGCTCACCTTCCATCCTGGCCTTAAAAAAAAAAATGGCACAGGAAGTCCTAGCCACAGCAATCAAGCAAGAGAAAGAAATAAAAGGCATCAAACTAGAAAAAGAAGTCAAACTCTCTCTTTGCTAATGATATGATTCTATGCCCGGAAAATCCTAAAGACTTCACCAAAAGGCTATTAGAACTGATAAACTAGTTTAGTAAAATTTCAGGATACAAAATCAATGTGCAAAAATCGGTAGCATTTCTATGCACCAATATTGTCGAGACTGAGACATTCGTATCAAGATTAGGTTCATATCAAGAACACAATCCCGTTCACAACAGCCACAAAGAAAGTGAAATACTGAGGAATACAGGTAACCAAGGAGGTGAAAGATCTCTACAAAGAAAACTACAAAACACTGCTGAAAAAAATCAGAAACAACACAAGTAAATGGAAAAACATGTCATGTTCATGGACTGGAAGAATCAATATTGTTAAAATGGACATACTGCCTAGAGCAATTTATAGATTTAATGCTATTCATATCAAATTACCAATGTTATTCTTCACAAAATTTTTTTAATTTATGCTAAAATTTACATGGAACCAACAACAGAGCCCAAATAACCAAAGCAAACCTAAGCAAAAAGAACAAAGCTGGAGGCATCACATTACCTGACTTCAAACCATACTCTAAGGATATAGTAACCAAAACAGCATGGTACCAGTACAAAAACAGACAGAGAGACCAATGGAACAGAAAATAAAACCGTAAATAAGCCTCACACCTACAACTATACAATCTTTGACAAGGCTGACAAAAATAGGCAATGGGGAAAGGACTCCCTATTCAGTAAATGGTGCTGGGAAAACTGGTTAGCCATATGCGGAAGAGTAAAACCGGACCCTTACGTTTCATCATACACAAAAATAGCTCAAGGTAGACTAAAGATTTACATGTAAGACTTCAAACTGTAAAAATTCTTGAAGAAAACCTAGGAAATACCCTTCCTGACTTTGGCCTTAGCAAAGAATTTTTTACTAAACCCCCAATAACAATTGAAACAAAAACAAAAATTGGCAATGGACCTAAGTAACTGAGGAGCATCTGCATAACAAAGTAAAATACCAGTACACTAAACAGACACCTACAGAATGAGAGAAAATATTGGCAAAATATGCAGCGGACAAAGCTCTCATATTCAGAATCCACAGGGAACTTAAACAAATCAACGAGCGAAAAACAGCCCCACTTACACATGGGCAAAGGGCATAAACACACACTTCTCGAAATAAGACATACAACCAGCCAACAAACATTAAAAATGCTCATCACTGATCATCAGAGAAATGCAAATCAAAACCACAATGAGAAATCATCTCTAACCAGTCAGAATGGTGACTATTGAAAGGCCAAAAAATAAGAGTTGATGGCAAGTTGTGGAGAAAGGGGAAAGCTTACACTGTTGGAGGGAGTGTGAGTTAGTCCAGCCACTGTGGAAGTCAGTTCAAAGAACTTAAAGCAGAGCTGCATTTGACCCAGCAGTCCTGTTACTGGGTATATACTCAAAGGAAAATAGATCATTATACCAAAAAGACACACGCTTGTATGTCCATCAGCATGCTATTCACAATAGCAAAGCCATAGAATCAGCCTAGGTACCCATCAATTGTGGATTGAATAAAGAAAATGTGGTACGTATACACCATGGAATACTATGCAGTCAAAAAAAAGAATCAAATCATGTCCTTCACAGCAACATGGATGGAGTTGGAGGCTGTAATTCTAAGTGAGTTAACACAGGGACAGAAAAGCAAGTAACACAAGTTCTCGCTTATCAGCGGGAGCTAAACGCTGAGCACCACGGACGGAAACATGGGAATAGCAGACACTGCAAGCTACTCAATGGGGGAAGGAGTGATGGGAGAATGGGTGGAAAAACTACCTACTGGGTACTATGCTCACTAACAGTGCAATATTCCCATGTAACAGAACTGCGCATGGACCCCCGTATCTAAAATAAAACTTGAGAGAGGCCGGGTGTGGTGGCTCACGCCTGTAATCCCAGCACTTTGGGAGGCCAAGGCAGGTGGACCACCAGAGGTCAGGAGTTCGACACCAGCCTGGACCACATGGTGAAACCCCGTCCCTACTGAAAATACAAAAATTAGCCAGGTGTGGTGGCACTTGCCTGTAATCCCAGCTACTCAAGAGGCTGAGGTAGGAGAACTGCCTGAACCCGGGAGGCAGAGGTTGCGGTGAGCCAAGATCACGCTACGGCACTCCAGCCTGGGCAACAGAGAGAGATTCTGTCTTGGAAAAAAAAAAAAAAAGTTGAGAGAAAAAAATTTGCCACATAAACTTCAAAACCTAGGAGCTTACAGTCAAAACTCACAAATCCACAAAGACATAAGTTACCAGGAACAAGATTCAGTAGAAAAACAGAACAATCAATCATACAAATATTTCAGAATTGAATTACGGTTGTTCCGACCTTTCCTGCCACCTCGGCGGTGCCTCTGGCCATGGCCGGGGGCCTCGTGGGTGACCTCCGCTTTATGCTCAGCCCTGGGCAGCCCCTAGGGCTCCACAGGGGCACCGCCCGGCTCCGGCCCTGGCACTGGCTGGGCACACTGCCACTCAGAGCAGCCTGGCCCCCGTGCGCCCTTGTGAGCAAGAGCCATGCTTGACAGTTTTACCAGCTCCGTGGCAGGTGACACGGTATGAATACACCATATTGACTGAGAGAGCACCACTAGGAAGAAACCGTTCGAGGCACGAGCCTTCGGAATGAGGGTTGGGTGCTCACGGTCTGACAGGCAAGGTGGGCCTGTTTAGGTATTGAGGAGTAGAAGGAGGAGTCAGGGCCACCCACCCTGGGTGCACCTCAGAGTCCTCGGAAGACGCAGGACGCACAGTCTTTGGAAGCACTGGAGGCCACGCCCAGCACGAGAACGTCCCTCTCCCAGTGCCCTGTCCCTGGGCTGCCTGTCCAATGCCTCTGTCCCCACCCCCCCACAGCAGGTTGTGGCTGGGATTCTACCCAGCAAGATCCAAATGCACTTTCAGGCATGAACCCCAAATCCCCGCACCAGCGACAGCAAAATGCAAGTAACTGAAATGAGGCCACAAGACCTGCAGCCTCAGACGTAGCATAAGCTGCAGCAGGACGATGAGAGGAAGCATGGCCGTTCTTTGGAACGAAGTGGGGCCTCGCCATGCAAGTCGAGTTGCCGAGACCCCTGTGGATTCCACAGGCTCTGATTCTAAATGTACATCAGAGCATCAGTGCAAAACACACCTCCGCAGGCAAGAGAGACCGGCTTCGGCAGTGGGCGAGTAAACCCTCTTTAGTATGTAAATATCATACATCTATTTGCAAGCTGCAGTATGTTATTTGCATGTGTGTCCATCAAATAAAAAATAAAGAATATACAGTGAGACTTTCCTTATTATGAAGTGAGTTCGTAGAGCAAGAAAGCATAGCAGCCTTCTGCTTTCAAAGGTACTAGTTCACCATGAGAAAATGGAGATATATGTTGTTTATTCTTTCTGCCAAGGCTTAGCTGGTAGGCAGCCCTTCCTGGCTGATGCAGACGTCTGTCAGAATTTGGGCTTTAGTAGATGCTGCATGCAGCAGGTGCCCCTGAAAACAAAATCATCAGCCCCAGCTGGACAGAAGGAGGTCTGCTCCGAGGAAAGCCACGGCCCACAGTGAGGTGGCCCAGCTGGGATGGGGTGGGAGAGGGCACAGAGCAGCCCACAGGAGTCTGACTCTGGAGAGAGACCACCATGCCCACAGCAGGTGCCTTGGGTGTGGGACCACAGGCCGCCAGTCTTGTAGACAGCCCCCCACTGTCAGCAGTTCTCAAACTGTATACTTTTGAATATTAGTTCATTAGTTCAACCACTGTGGCAATTCCTCAAGGATCTAGAACTAGAAATACCATCTGACCCAGCAATCCCATTATTGAGTATATACCCAAAGGATTATACATCATTCTACTATAAAGACACATGCTGTTTATCGCAGCGCTGTTCATGGTAGCAAAGACTTGGAACCACCCCAAATGCTCATCAATGATAACTGGATAAAGAAAACGTGGCACATATCACCATGGAATACTGTGCAGCCATAACAAAGGATAAGTTCACGTCCTTTGCAGGGACATGGATGAAGCTGGACACCATCATCCTCAACAAAGTAACACAAGAACAGAAAACCAACCACTGCATGTTCTCACTCATATTATATCATGTATGTAGATAAATATCAGTCTCTTTAATTTCTGACTGAATGGAGGATAGTTAGATTCCCAGAACTGGTTTGTATTCAATCTTTTATAGGTTATTTTGGTTGTAATTTTTGAAGAAGCTGCATCCTCGCAGGGATGTGTGGTTAGCAAGGGGGAGAGCGCTGTGAAAGGCCGCCCAGGTGGCTGTGGCTGGTGCGGTAACGGTCACTCGGGACC